ACAGAGTCTCCTCTGATGGACTGACCTTCCTGTACAGCTTCACCTCCTCATTCACTGAACCCCTCTATCCAGGGTTTTATGTTTATACAAACTCCTCCGTGTCCCTGTGCATGCTGGGATAGCTCACTGTGTGCTGGGGGAATCATTTTTATCTTATCAGAGTGTCACATGTCGCTGCTTCTCTGTGGCAAAAAGGTAAAATCTCTACTTTTTAACGAGTATAACCCTTTTTACTCTGTCTGAAGTGTGACGTATGTCAGACAAAAATAACTTAATGTTTGTTCAGCTTGCCAAACCCATGCAAAATTTCTGTTTTTCTCTGACTTATGTTCTGTGTTGTCTGTGAATGATGCACCAAAACTGCCAAAACAAAATCATAGTACATGCAGTTGTACCAATAGAGTGAATTCTGATTTTGAATAAAATAAAATGTAATGAAATGTAAGCCTGATGAGCTTTTCCCCTCCCCTCTATATGTAAATTTGATATATTTCTGTCTATATATTGTATTTGCTACCTGTACACTGACAATAAAGGCTTCCTATTCTATTTAATGTCCTGGTTCAGCGCTGCCCAGAGCGTAACTGAGTAACACACGTAACAACTCCGCGCTCTATGGTGACTGAGCCCAGCAGCCTGATATCGCAGCGGTGATGCTTTGGCCAGCAGGGGGCGGCAGACGGCAGACATTTTATTAACACAAATCCTACAGCGGTCCTGCGGTAACTGAGTAAAGATAAATAATATAATCATATTAAACATATGATAACTTAGTAAACATAAATAACATAAAATCTTAATAAATCACGTTAGTACTACAACTAAAAATTTGTGATGTTGCAAAAAAATCAATGATGCAGTGTAGGTGTGGTATATTAAAAATTAGTATTTTGGTTAAGATTGCTTTTCTAAAGGTTGTTGGACTGAATAACTATGAAAAGGTACATGTTAAAATGTTGAAGATAGAAGCAGAATTGTTTTTTTTTATGTCTATTACAAAGTTTTAGTTATTTATTATAATGCAATTATAATACACTAGGGGGAGATCACGAGCATGTTCCTCATTCAGTAAAAGTTTCTAAAGAAGAAACATCGTTGGTGATTTTTCGCTTTTTTCCTCTCCCCTTTATTCAGGTATGGTAAAGTTATTTTATCATTAAATGTTGTCTAAAATGTCAGTACTGGTTGTGATTTATGTTAGAGTATTTCCGTATGTGTTTTACTTTTATGTAAGTAAACATAAAAAAAAAACGTCTAATTCTATTTTAATGCATACTTAAAACATACACTAAGTGCCTTTTTCTGTTACCTAAATTGTTATCTATCGCTTTCGGCCAGAAGCAGATATCATCAGGTGGTGTCCAACTTTCATTGAGTGTTTCGGCCCTCAACCACTACACTCTCCTGTTGGCGGGCCAGCTGTGATTGGCCAGATCACTGCCTATCTGCTCCTGGTCTCCAGCTCTCCTCTTCTCTTTTACTCCACAACCAACAGGAGGCTCGCTCAGCCTCCTCCCTCATTCTGCGTGCAGCTTGCTTCTTGCTGCTCCCGCTAAGGCCAAGTGCTGACAGCATCTGCCACACTGACTTGGCTGGGAAACCTCTGCAGCAAACCTCAACTAGGTAGAGCCACACCTGCCAGCCCTTGTCTCTACAATCCTGGACCAAGGACTGATACTTGAGGGCCTTCCTCTCATGAGCCTCTTTACAGCCTTCCTCCCATGACACTGTTAACTCGACCAGGATCATCTTCTGGTCTATAGTTGACCACGGTACAAGGTCTGGCCGGAGCATTGTGACCACCACTTCTGGGAATTTCAGCTGGCTTCCCACGTCGACCGCCATCTCCCAGGAACTAGCGGTTTGCAGCAGGCTGATCTTTGTCTTCTTGCTTGTGGAGGGCTTAGCACTCTCCTTAATGAAAGGGATTGGTCTCTTCATGGTGGTGCTAGCTGGTCTCTTTTTGCATCTTTCCCGCTCTAATATGTCAGCGAGGGACAAAAGAACCTTATCGTGGTGCCACCTATACCGGCCTTGGGATAGAGCTGTTTTACACCCAGATAGTATGTGTGCCAGCATCCCTCTCTGGCCACAGAGTTTACAGAGTGGATCTTCTCTCAACCCCCATGTGTGCAGGTGAGATGGCGTGGGAAGGGTGTCATAAACAGACTGCATAAAATACTTCTGTAACTGCTCGTGCTGAAACAGGCGTTAAAGTAGTTCGTGGTGTATAAAGTGTACTGTTTAATAGAGATCATTTAAACAACGAACTATGTTATTTTGGTTTATTATTTGAATTTACTGTGCAGATATTGCATATTTTGATGCTTTATATTGATTGGTTATTTCAGCTCTAATTAGTTGAGTTTAAAACATCACATTCAATATCCTCTCTTGCACCCAGTGAAAAACCTTGATGTACACCTTGATTTATAGGTGTACAGACTGATTGCTGATTGCAGATTTGTGTGAAGGAGTGTCAAACAGGTGCTGTAGTGATTTCATACTGATCTAGGTAGGTTCTAATAGTTGGGTATAGATGGTTTCTGTTTGGTCACCATAGTTAAAACAATGGCGTTTGGGCAGCTTGAATGACATCCGTGTTAACTGTTTTGAAAATGGGTGTAAAAAATGTGTGAATCCAATGAAAAAGTGTTAACACATTCGCAGGACATGACTTCAGGTCTGCTGAGATGGTGATGATGAAGACCCAGTGGATCCCAGTTTCTTTCAGCAGGTCAAAGCAATCATGAAAAACTGTAACACACAGGATAAAACTGAAGCTCAATGGCCAAAATGACTCATTTTGTTAGCAAAATGCTCTAACACTCACAAAACATTAAAAACATGCAACATAAGCAAATATTTCCATCAAACACCACAACTTGTGGTCAAATTTATGTATTCTTTCAATCAATCATTACACGATGGATAACAAAATACAGCCATCAATATGCAATATAATACTTTACAAACTCAAATGGATACTGGAAAAAAAAAAACTACCAAAAGGAAACTTTTTGGAAATACCTTTTTAAAAAAAAAAGAAAAAAAATATATATATTTTATCTTTCACATTTAGTCCAATCGTTCTTGCCGATTATGCCACAGGTTCTCATCAACATCGCATTGAATGTTTTCCCTTGCAATGCACCGAGGGAAATACCTCCTTGCACGGCGTATCCATCCCTGGCAGTCCTCTGCACCTATTGCCAGGCAACCAGCATTCATTGCCTCCAGGAGGGGCATCTGCTCATATGGCCGGTGATCATACACCTTCCACCTCCAAGCAGAGAAGAACTCCTCAATTGGGTTCAGAAAAGGCGAGTATGCAGGGAGGAATTGCATCATAATACGAGGCTGTGCTGCAAACCATTCATTCACAAGGCGAGAGTGGTGGAAAGCCACATTGTCCCAAATTATGACATACAGAGTCATGCCAGGCCTCAACAGCCCTCTCTCT